TTGTGTATTAAGCCTTACTTTTGGTCACTTTTAGTGTTTTTTTTTACATTTTTAGTATTTTGCCATGCTTTTCTCTATTTTTAATTTCATGCTTGGGCTGGAATCCCAATTGAGATAATAGAAATATGCTACTTTATTTTAGATAACCCTAACTTAAGTTTGGTATCTTTCACTTGCGCTCACTTTTTTTTTTAATTGAATCTTCGTAAGCTATAGTTACAAAGCTTTTATGTTTTAGTTTCAGTCATGCATACAATAATCAAAGACCCATCCCTCCACCAGTGTATATTTTCCACCACCAATGTCCCCAGTAACCCTCCCACCACATTCCACACCTCCCCCGGCCTCTATGAAAGACAATTTCCCTCTTACTCTCTACTTTGGAGCATCATGGTTTGCAGTGCAGATACTGAGAGGCCATCATGTTTGGCCCTTTGTCTACTTTCAGCACACGCCTCCCATCCCGAGTGGTTCCTCCAACTATCATTGACTTAGTGATCCCTTCTCTATCCCAGCTGCTTTCTCTCCCCGTTTATGAGGCAGGCTTCTAACCAACTTCCTGACCCTTGTCTCTACTGTCCTTAGTCGTTAGTCTCATATTATGTTATTTTATATTCCACAAACAAGTGTGGTCATTCTATGTCTGTCCCTCTCTTTCTGACTCATTTCACTTAGCATGATAATCTCCATGAAAATCCACTTATAACCAAATTTTATGACTTCATCTTTCCTAACAGCTACATAACATTCCAATGTGTAGATGTACCAACGTTTCTCTAACCTGTCATTCATTCTTGGGCACTTGGATTTTTTCCAGGTTCTGGCTATTATGAATAGTGCTGCAATGAACATACAGGTGTAGATGTCATTTCTACTGTACTTTTTTTCACCCCCGGGATATATTCCCAGAAGTGGTATTGCTAGGTCATCTGGAAGCTCAATTTCTAGTTTTTTAAGGAATGCCCACATTGTTTCCAGAATGGTTGGACCAGTTGGCCACCAACAATAAAAAAAAAAGAGTCCCTTTCTCCCCACATCCATGGCAGCACTAGTCGTATACTTGTTCTTTTTGATGTGTGCCAGTCTCTGTGGTCTGAGATGATATCCCGCTGTTGTTTTGATTTGCATCTCCTTGATGATTAGTGATATAGAGCATTTTTTTCATATGCCTTTTGACCATTTTTATTTATTTTTTGAGGAAGTTTCTCTTTATTTCTTCTCCCCATTTTTAAACTCTTCACTTCCCTATATTGATATTGTCAGATGAGCAGGGATCATATACACTAGCTTGTGGTGTCACAGTTCAGCTGTGGTGCTAAACAGGATTCTCATTCGTTTACCTGTGCTACTTCCACACATGCTTACCAGGAGTTACACTCTTTAGTTGTGGTACCCTCACACGTTCTTTAATTCTTAGTGGGATCACAACTTTAGTCTGTGCTTATACATGTGCTCACCAATGGGTCTTGCTCCTGCTTTGGTGATTTCATACCTTTTGGTTGCAATTCTTCTTAGGTTACACCCTTTATGAGCAATACCTACACATAGATTGCTATGATGCATCTGGAAATTGTTAGCAGTGCCGAGACCACAAACAGTAGTGCTGCAACATAAACAGCAGGCTCCACTTCATACTAGTAGGCACTAGGAATCAAACTCAAGACCTCATGTTTGGCCAAACTTTTGCCTTCAAATCAGTTAATGCCCCATTTGTTCTTACTCTCTGATCACGTAACATGGGTTTATTTCTATGTGAGTGTGAGATATAATCATCTTACTTTTTCCAAATTGTCAGCCAATTGCCACTTCTCACAAATCTAGTATTCCATCTTTTCTCCATTGCTATAAATTAAACCATTCTGATACATTATACTCTATATAGATCAAGTCCTACTTACATATAGAAACATAAGTATACAGAAATCTTTCTTTTGAACCAGTAATTTGTGACTTTTGTATGTATTATCATTATTTTATTGTCTTCAACTAACATCTGTATTTTCAATGGAAAGGTTTCAGTCATTATTTTAGTTGTTTAAAATCTTGCCTCAGCCATTTACTATTCTCAATGAAATGTAATGATCTTTTTAAGAACAAGAACATTTTCATGAAATGTTATTATAAGCACAGTGAATTTTGTTAATTTGAAAAGAATTGATATCTTTCTAACTTTATTAGCTACATTTGACACACATATGTCAAATGTAGAAACATGATAACTTGATACACTTAATGTATAAAAAATAATTATTATTATGAGAGATGATACGGGTTTTTAACAGTATATTCTTAATCACATACGAATGCAGAAATAAGCACTGTATACATTAAAATTTTACATGTTGGTGGGGCTGGAGGGATAGCACAGTGGGTAGGGCGTTTGCCTTGCATGCAGCCAACATGGCCAACACAGGTTTGATTCCCAGCACCCCATATGGTCGGTCCCCTGAGCACCGCTAGGAGCTATTCCTGAGTGCATGAGCCAGGATTAACCCCTGAGCATCACTGGGTGTGATCCAAAAAGCAAAAAAAAAAAAAGTTTACACGGTGAATTATAAATAAAATAAATGTTATTAGTAAAATTAATATATTATATAATATTGTTAACTTTATTAATCATGCTATACATTCACTCCCCAAAGTTTATTTATCTAAAAACAGGAATATTGCACCATTTGGCAGATACCATCTATTTCAACCACCACCCAACTCTCAACAACCACTGTGCTACTTTTTGTGAGTTGCATTTTTCAATAGAAAGAGTCCTGGGATTTGAGAGGTTTTGTACTAAAGAAAAAAATGTCAGAAAGAGAAAGACAAATATCATATGATATCACAGATAAGTGAAATATTTATTTTTTTAGTTTTTGGGCCACACCCAGCTGTACTCAGGGGTTACTGCTGACTCTGCACTCAGGTGTCACTCATGGAGATGCCTGAGGGACAATATGGGATGCCAGGGATAAAACCTGGCATCAAGACTGGGTCAGCCACGTGTAAGACAAGCACCTTGCCCACTGTACTATCTCTCTGACCTCATATGTATGGGATCTAAAAGCTGATATTTTAAGTATTGAATATTCATTCTTTAAGAATAAAACTTCTCAATTTTTAACTGATTGTTGTTTTATATTATAGTTAGCACAGCACTGTAGCACTGTCTTCTCATTGTTCATCTATTTGCTAAAGTGGGCACCAGTAACATCTTCATTGTGAGATTTGTTACTGTTTTGAGCATATTGAATACATCACGAGTAGCTTCCCAGGCTTTGCTGTGAAGGCAGGATACTCTAAGTGACTTGCTGGGATCTTCGAGAGGGATGGAGGGATCAAACTCTGGTCAACCACATGCAAGGCAAATGTCTTACCTGCTGTGCTCCAGTTGATTCAAATAATTCTTTTATGGTTATTTTTCTTTCCTCTCTGACATGTTCCAAAGTATTATATAAATTTCTTTTTCTTTTGTCTTTGTCAATTAAAAAAAATTCTCCATTAAATTAGGAAGGGGCATGTCCAGCTGTACTCAAGTCTTACTCCTGACTCTTGGCTCAGGGTTAATTCCACATGTGGTGCTGGGTATTCAAACCAGGGTAAGCCACATGCAAGAAAAGTGTCTTACTTCCTGTGTCATTCCCTTAGCTCCTCCATTAAAATTTTTAGTTTTTTCCATTAAAAAAATTAATAGAGGGGTCTGAGAGATAGTAAGAGGTAGAGAGAGTACTTGCCTCACCTGTGATAGACTGTGGTTGAATCCTGGCATTCCCACTCCCCACCAGGAATGAACCCTGAGCACAGAGTCAGGAGTACGCCCTGAGCAGTAAACTTTAATTGGGGTGGATAAGAAACAAAACAGCTGAAAAATTCAAATAGGGTGAAGTATTATAGCTTTTACAAGGTTTAAACAATTTAACAATTTTCATGACTAACTGGATGCTTTTAGATAACAAATAGCTTACAATTATCATAATTTTATCTTTTTAAATGTTATGGTTTCTAATTCTTTATTTTTCCAGTAGATCAATTACCATACTAGCAATGTATCTTAATAGAGATAATAGAAATCACACTTTCCCTGTCTCATCCATGAGACTAGAAACAATGTCTCTCTTAAACGTAAAGTTTAATCTTTTTGTAATTTTGAGATGTTTAGAATGCAGACTGTCAGTTTTAATGAGAAAAAAATTAATGTATCTAAAGAATTCATCTCAGTAGCATTGGCTATTCCTGAAGTGCTTCTATTAAAAATGGCATCCCTCAAGCAGAATTCAAAATTAAGATTACAAGGGGCTGGAGTGATGATACAGCAAGGTCTTGCATGTGGACAACCAAGGTTCAATCTCCCACACCACCATATGGTCCCTCAAGACCCCCAGGAAAGAGCTCTTAGCACTTAGCCAGAAGTAAGTCCTGAGCACTGAGAGGTGTGGCCCCAAAACAAATAAACAAAGACTACAGATCATTTTAGCAAAATAAAAATGCCTACATAAACTTTAAGGAGGTTTGTCTAGCCAGGAAATCTCATCAAATCCTTCAAATACCAAGAAAGTGATTAAATCATGATTTTTATTTTCTGTCTCCATTACGACTGCCACCTCAGGACTCACGTGTGACGCCCTCTTCCATGAAAGCAGCCAGACTAAAGGTGGGACCCAAATATCCCTTTTCCCAGGACAAGCGGAGAAAGAGGCAAAGGAATTTATTGAAAAGGCAACAAAAGAAGAATCTCTATGAAGATTACTGAGAAGAATTCAGAGGAACTAGGCAAGGTACAAATCCTTAGAACACAGGTGAAAACTTTAGTATAATGTCTTTTAAAAAGGAAACTTGGAATTTTTTCACTCACCCTTCACTAAGTTTTATTTTCTGCTTCCTGCAGTGTCTTGAAAATATTGTTTTAAGTTCTTTTTGAAATGCCAGATTTGTTTGTTTTTATAGGTGCAAAGTGAGGAAAGAAGTGTGCCTCTCACTGCTTCTCCAAACCCTGCCAAGAATCTAACGCTATGGAAAATCAAAACAACAGTAATAGCTACTCAGACTTTATCCTTCTGGGCATCTCTTCCAACCCCAATCTCCAGACACCCCTCTTTGTCATCTTCCTTATCATGTACCTGGTCACCGTGGTGGGGAATGTACTCATCATCCTGGCCATCTACTCTGACACTCGACTTCACACCCCTATGTACTTTTTTCTCAGTAACCTTTCCTTTATGGATATCTGCTTCACAACAGACATTATGCCCAAGATGCTGGTGAATTTGCTATCAGAGACAAAGTCCATCTCCTACGTGGGCTGCCTGGTCCAGATGTACTTCTTCATGGCGTTTGGAAACACTGACAGCTACCTGTTGGCCTCTATGGCAATAGACAGGCTGGTGGCCATCTGCAATCCCTTTCACTATGACGTGGTCATGAATCCGCGGCGCTGTCTCCTAATGCTGGTGGTGTCTTGCACCATCTCCCACCTGCACTCCCTCCTCCGGGTGCTGCTCATGTCCCGTCTGTCTTTCTGTGGCTCCCATGTCATTAAGCACTATTTTTGTGACACCCAGCCTGTGCTAAAGCTATCCTGCACAGACACATCCGCCAGTCAGCTTGTGGTCTTGACGGAGACTCTGGCGGTCATTTCCACCCCCTTCTTGTGCATCCTCTTTTCCTACCTGCGAATCATTATCGCCGTGCTCAGAATCCCCTCTGTAGCTGGAAAGTGGAAGGCCTTCTCCACCTGTGGCTCCCACCTCACTGTCGTTGCCCTATTCTATGGGAGTGTCATTTATGTCTATTTCAGGCCCCTGTCCATGTACTCAGTGGTGAAGGACCGGGTAGCCACAGTTATGTACACGGTAGTGACCCCCATGCTGAACCCCTTCATCTATAGCCTGAGGAATAAAGATATGAAAAGGGGGTTAAAGAAATTATGGAACAAAATTCACTCATAGACAAATATATTCACTGATACAATAAGATATGACTTATGAGGAAATCATCTTGGCTACTAGCTTTTCACATAGCATCAAAATGGTCATAAAGCATTTGGTGTTGCTTTTAACAACCGTGACTAAATATTCATCTTCAGTTCAGATGCCACACGGAACTCAGATCTCAAGAAAACACCTACTAGTTCCCATACAGTGTGAGAAAGATTACCCCCTTAATTTTGTAAATTAAGCATGATCAGTGCTCACAGACATATCAAATTCTATTCAATTTGAGAGTAACAAATTTCCTTCAGGAATTCTAAAGACTCTTGGAAGAATGACCTTAGATTTTTCTTAAGGAGAGGCTGAAAATTGACAGAAGTTCAAACAATAAGAAATAGGCAGAGCATTTCAAATAGTGGAAATAGCTTGGGCAGGGAGAATAATTAACACTGGGCTATGTGTGTGGGACAGTTAAAAGTCCTGTGGGACTAGCTCATTTCGAGAGCATGCAAAATACATGAGAAAAGACAGATGAATCTGTGTATCAGTTATTCCTCTCCCAGCACTAAAATGCAATGGCTGTGAGAATTAGCATACTCAACTCCTTGTCCCGACCCTCTTAATTGTTCATTTTTTTCCCCACATGTCCAGACTTCTCACTAAAAACTCATTTTATTCTAGAAAAATAAAGGGCATATCAATGGTAATAAATAGGTCGTATTGCAAAAGCAAATAATCCAAATAACACTGGACTTTAAAATCAAATAACTTCTTTATTACATTACAGATTAGTCACAGTAAATGATAGAAACACTGTCCATTTTTAACATTCAAGAATTATATGATAAATAGTCACCATTTTAAATATTGATCATCACCTCTCAGAACCTGAGGGGATTTAGTATAGGCAAGCATTTTAGCACAGAAGTTATCCATAACACATGTAAACTCATTGTCCAAAATTAATCTCATGATGCCACCCAAACAAAAGGGAGCCAAGAAGCACATGCAATACTATATCTGTAAATTGGAGGGCCAGAAGTATTTGGTGAACAAAATTAAAGACTAGAATGTAATTCTAATAACACATAATGCCTAAATGTGAATTTATTGTTTTATCAAGGCTTCCTTGATTACATCATTTGTCATTAACAACAGTAGTTTAAGGTATATATTCTCTAGGATCCTTTTACATCAATTATTTATTTTTTATTTGGGGTCCACACCTAATAATGTACAGAGGTTACTCCCAGCTCTGTGCTCAGGAGTTACTCCTGGTGGTGCTCAGGAGACCATGTGGAATTCCAGGGATAGAACATGGGTCAGTCACATGCAAGAAAAGCATCCTGCTGTACTATCTCTCTGTCCCCTACATCACTTATTTAATCTAGTTTTAATAATAACTAACATAATACATTATAAGCTTGTATAACATTGCCTGAATTTAATATAAACCTTTAGCCTTACATATATAATTGGTACATAAAGTCCTAATGGGACACTTGGGCAGGAAGAATAATTAACACTGGGATATGTGTGTGGGACAGTTAAAACTCCTGTGGGACTAGCTCAATTCGAGGGTAACAGAGTCAAATCAAGTTTTCTGCTATTGCTGTCAGTAGGTCCTCTTTCAATCATCAGGAAGCAACCAAGAATCTAAGAAACAAGCTCAATTCGCAAGAGCCTTCATGACAGTACAGGCACTGAACTCACCAATCAGAGCCACAGAGTGGACAGATGGGTCAGAAAACGGAATCTACCTCTGCTAATCACAAGAAACATACATGAATGATTGTGGCAAACACAGGCTAAAAGTAAATTATTAGGAAAAAAATCCTACAAATAGTAGCCTAAAAAATATTGTGAACTGGAACTATGCAAGCTTAGCTTTAGAATAAACTTTAACTTATAATGCCTTAAAAAAAAACAACAATATTGAAATCACTATATTTCAAATAAAATGGTTAGGAGAGGAAAGAGAGAAATAGGATCTAAGGTGCTTGGTTTCCTGGGACTGTCCTTAATTTGGTCTCCAACACCACATGGTCCCTCAAGCACAGTCAGGAGTAAGCCTTGGGCATCAACCAAGAAATAAAAGTGAGACTCAATACACACCCCCTAAAAAATAAAACAAAAAATTTGCTTGCCTCTGAAGATATTGGACATTTGGATATTAGATATTTGGATATTATATAATGTCCAAAGGATCAGTAGATCAAAAAGATTTAACACTCATTAACACAGATGCACCAAATGAACCATTGAAATACATAAAGCAGCTGCTAACAGACTATAGAAATATATTAACAGCACAATGATGTTCGAGCAGGCCCAGTAACGTCTCCATTGGAGACTTGGTTGTTACTGTGTTTGGCATATCGAATACTTCACGGGGAGCTTACCAGACTCTGCCATGCAGGCGAGATACTCTCGGTACACATACCTCTCCCTCTCAGTTCTGGATAGGTCAACTAGATAAAAAAAAAATTATAAGAAAACATTGGTCTTCGGGAGGAAAAAACGGAAGAGTTGGGCTTTATAAACATGTATAGGTTTCCCCACCCTGAAAAAGTGAATTATACATAATTATCAAATGTACATGGGACATTCTCCAAGATATAACACATGTTGGGACACAGAAAATTATAAAATCAAGTATCTTCTCAGACTACAATCCCTTGAAGGTGGAGATAATCCACAATAAAAAGAGAAAACTTGAAACACTTGGAACCTAAACAACATAATATTAAACAACTAGATGGTCAAAGAGGAAATATAAAAGAAGATTCCTAGTAACAAATATGGGACACACCGTTAACATTGTTATAAAAAGGAAGTTACAGAACTGCCAGAATCCATCATGAAAAAAGAAAACCCTCAAATAAATAGCATAATTTTACATTATAAAAAATTAATAAAAGGTCCAGGCAGACTTCTCAAAATTCTAGAACACATGCTTTGCATATGGGAGTCCCAGATTAGTTCCCTTTTACTACAGGATCCCTCTGAACACCCTTTAGAATTGCCCCTCAAGCATCTAGTGAGACATAACCTCCAAGCAGCACAAAATGTAACCCAAAACACAACAAAAAGAATAGACTAAGAATAACAAAGCTAGCCCCAAAAGAAAAATAATAAAACATAGAGTAGACCAAAGCAGAGACATCACTTAAAAAAAAAAGGTTAGTATTTATGAAGAAGGGCTCAAGCGATAGCACAGAGGGTAGGGTATTTGCCTTGCACGCGGCTGACCAGGGTTCAATTCCTCTGCCCCTCTCAGAGAGCCCAGTAAGCTACCAAGAGTATTCTGCCCACACAGCAAAGCCTGGCAAGCTACCCATGATGTATTCGATATGCCAAAAACAGTAACAGCAAGTCTCAGAATGGAGACATTACTGGTTCCCGCTCAAGAAAATCGATAAACAACAGAAGGACAGTGCTACTTACAGGGTCATATAATTTTAAAAGTCAGCAGGATTCATAGAGCCAACTTTTATTTCATGGTAGAATACATTCATTTTTTTGGTTTCTGGGGCCACATCCAGCTGTGCTCAGGGCTTACTCCTAGCTGTTTTCAGGGACCATTCCTGGCTATGCTAAGGGAATGTGGTGCCAGGGATCAAACCCAGATCAGCTGCATGCAAGACAAGCTCCCTACCCATTATACTATCTCTTCAGTATCAAAAATATAATACTTTTTAATGTGACTAAATACAGTATTCTGTTGAGATAAAATTATATAACTAAAGTGCCTCTCTATAAATTCTTCTCACTTTCTTCAACTATTTCTCTCAATTTTATGTTGCATAACAATTGGCAACTATAAGTGCCAATAAAGACTCTGGAGTAGCCAGATCATAAAATATTCCATCTTGTGGTCTGAGCACTGATGATGCAAGCATGCTTATTTTGAAAAAACTCTTGACACAACACTTATGTATTTGTACACTTTCCATATGCTTCAAAAATATGTCTTCAAGAGTTCGCTCTAAAAGCATAACACATACAGAAAGACTGACAATAAATAGTTGTCAGTTGTCAAATACCTCATGCCATAAAAATATTGGCATAGCTCCATTATTTGGGGATGGGCTTCCCAAGTGGTACTCTGGAGGCCTTGGGGGTCCCACCAGTAATTCTCAGCCAACCAAGCCATTGGTTCAATGCAAAGGCCCAAGGGTGCTGTTGCTACTCTGATTCTGAAGTACTAGGTGCCTCCAGGGAACCCCCAGTCGTGTTGGGGGGCCTCTTGAAAGGTCTTCTCTAAAGTGGGAGAACAGGAAAATGATTCAAGAATGGTACACAGGAAATTCAAAGGGAATGAACTATAAACTACTAAAAATGAATACCAGGTGGAATAGAGAAGGGATCACTAGGAAAATGATGGCTGGAGGAATTGGTTGGGATGGAAGATGTGTGCAGAAAGTAGATAAAGGACCAAACATGATAATCTCTCAGTGTCTGTATTGCAAAAGTAGAGAGATTATGTGAAATAATGTCTTCCATGGATGCAGGGAGAGGGTGGGAAATGGGGGTATACTAGGGATATTGGTGGTGGGGAATGTGCACTGGTGGAGGGATGGGTGTTTGATCATTGTTTGATTGTAATCCAAACATGAAAGCTTGTAACTATCTCATGGTGATTCAATAAAATTTTAAAAAATTGAACACCAGGAGAATGGGCAAACATTTCATTAACATTCCTTAACAAGCAAGATGAATGATTTGTACCCTCTTTTATATGTTTTAAATAAAATAAAATAGACTTAAACACAATATTAAAATAAAGGAACTAGAGCAAATTTTATACTAAATAGACAAAATTCTAGAAATGTCTTACTGTAAACCTTTTCCAAAAGTGAAGCTGCATTATACAAACTTTAGAGATGCAAGCAATACCTGAATGCAAAATCATTATTTAAGGAAGCTTCTCACAGCAATGGAAAGGAAAAAACTACCATTAACACACCTTAATCTATATGAATCTCACAAAAAACACTAAAACATAAAATACTAAA